TTTGCCTTGAAGACTGACTAAATTAAGTTTAGTTAGCTTTTACACTATGTTAATAATGCTGAAATAACTTATGGTGCACAGACTGAATACATATTTTAATTTCTTTTCTGAAGAAAATTAAGTAAATGACAAATAAATATGCACTTGGATGTTAGAAACTAGAGACAGTGGAGCTGATTCTCCTGTTACTTTACATCAGTGTCATTCCATTGGCTTCAGCAGAGTTATAGAGTAATAGAGTAAGCTTACCATGTGGACTTTACATGACAATGGTCACAGAGAGAAACTTACTTACATAAGGCCAAAGTTCTTCAGAGTATTAATATACGATGTTCTCATGTTAAATTTACTCAAGACCTCATTCACATGAAAATGGGCATGATACCCTTATGCTCTTAGGAAATGTTGAACATTAATGACTATGGGTAGGAATATCATTGATGCACAAATAGAACATGAAATCCCCTATTTCATTATCTATTTTTATTTCATCTATTTGCATGAGGGAATCATTGTTAAATGACAAAACCATTGAGTTATAAGCAGTGCTGTATCAACCCTTTTAAGGTGCTCATAAGGCCCTCATTACCACAGTATCTGACCACCTCACAAGCTTTAATTTGTTTTTCCTCATAACACCCCTGGAAGTATAAGGAAGTGTAGTTAACCCATTTAACAGCTTGGGAACTGAGGCATAGACACTCTAAGTGACTTCTCCAAGATTACCCAGGAAGTCTTTAGAAGAGGAGGGACCCAAACCTATGTCTCCCAAGTCCTAGGCTAAAGCCATAGTCAATAGACCATTCTTCGGGAAAGGAATAAAAATCAGTACTTGCATAACAGAAAGATGTGTGGAGGAGTGAGTAATGAGGGAAACAAAAGAACTGTAAGAACTATAGACTTGGGATTAAGTAAAGTAGAACTCATTTAACTGAAAAAAATTCTCATAATAGGAGCTGTTTAATTCTGGATCAAGTGAACGAAGATGCATGGCACCTTTAAAAAATATTATACATAAATATATATAAAAAGATGGGGGAAGGGAGCAAAGGAATAAAAACAAGAAAATAACCTCTTTGAAACTAAATACCTCTAATTTCAGAGGTAATTCAATCACAACCTGACATGAAGTCAGAGAAAGATCCGTGTCCTTGTGTAATGCCTTCATTCTCCACTTCAGCTGAAACCAAGAAGAAAGATTGGCAAAAAGAAGGCATACAGAGAGAATGTCATAATTCTATGTGTAGAATTTATAGACAAAATTTATCTGAGAGTTAAAAGTGTAAATAATTACACTAGTTAGTAAAAAAAAAATCAAAAAACAGTTTGAAAGGATGTACAGTCAAGGGTCCTGATTGAGCATAGTGTTACTGTATTTTTGTACCGGTGATGAGGGGTTACACTGAAGACAGTATGGTAGAGAGTGATGTGGAAGTAGTAACATTATTTTAGGAGCCTTAAGTGTGATTTTTCACTTTAAATATTTAACTTTTTAATAATGTTCTAATGATGTGTGCTCAATGTATAATTATTTACAACTTGAATTGCCTTAATCAAAGCTGTTCCATAAGAATTGCCTCAATTTTTATATAGACATTTAAAAATTATTTCTTGAATGGTACTACAAGATGTAGCTCTATAGAGATCACTCAGTAGCCCTTATAAGGCAAGGCTGTCTATTGCTCTATGCATCTGTGCAATGGAGAAGGGAGGCATAGAAAGCCCCCATATTCCCCAGCATATGCTACCCACATCACTGGTCAGGGCTTGAGCAGTGGGGAGTGCGTCATAGTCAGTGGAACTGGAATCAGAGGACCCATATTTGTAGCTGAGGGTGGGGAACGGACAGACTGACTCCCAGTACACCAGCTATCACAGATGGAAAAGTAATCTGATATATAGGGCAATAGCAGATTACTTCCCTGCTGGAGCTAGTGGAGAACCAAGGAGGGAATTGTAACTCAGTCATAAATCCTTCCCTGGGCTGTTCTTGGCAGGTAAAACCACAGAATCTAGGCTAAGGAATTTAGCAGATCTGGAATTACCTTTACAAAGCGTAGAAAACCCCTCGTGGTCAAGCCAGAGTTTAGGAGCTTTATACTCTATCAAGATTCTCAGATCTACAGCGTTCACACTGGAATTCTGCAAACATACATAGTTTTTTTTTTTTTTTTTTTTAAATGTTCATGGAAAGGGAACTGAAGAAAAATTAGGAACTCAAACTATGGAGCACAGGGACTTTAACTGTCAAAACTCCACTAGATCCAGTGGAACTAGCATGTTTTATACACCACGGGGCTGGGGATGCCTATGGGCATAGTTTGCGGGGCATTCCCCCACAGAGGCAACATGTAAGGGGCATGCAGGGTCACATGCCACTGCCTCTCCCCCTCATCCCCATTTCTGCAAGTGCAGAGCTGTCCAGGTGAGGGAGAGAGCCCTTTCAGTTTGCTGACTCTGCAGCTGGAGGCCACCTCCTGGGTCCTAGTGCCAGTCATCCTCCCTTCTATGTGCGATTGGTATCCTATATGGCCACCATCCTGTTTTCCGTACAACGGTGAGTGCCAGCAGCGGGGCAGGGAAGAGGGGCAGGGGCAGTAGAGAAGAGGAGGGAATAGAGGGGTGTGTGGGGTGGTAAATCAGAAACCCAGCATGTGTCCCCCTCAATGGTGGCAGCAGTGGCAGCTGGAGCTCCCCCATCAAGCAGGCTCATCAAACGCACACCCCGACAAGTCCCACTCCCCTGCTCCTAGACCACCCCAACAAGCCTCCCGCACCCAAGTCCCCACCTGACTGAGCCCCACTCAGAGCACCCAGATCCCCCCTGCCAAGCCCGATCCCCCCAGAGCCAGACACCTCCCATGAGCCCCAACCATCTTCACCTGGATCCCCCCTGCAGATTCCCATTGCCCCTGCACCCAGAACCCTCCCCCAACAAGCTCCTGTACATCCAAATTCCCCACTGAGCTGCCTGCACCCAGATTGCCCCACACCTGGATCCCCCAACATTAAGTTCCTCCACACTTGGATCCTGCTGGGCTGAGCGTGCCTGCCCACAACTGGTACACCTGGCACAGAGGGGCAGGACCCCAGGATGTGTCTGGGGCAAGCCTGGCCTTGCCCTGTGTCAGGGAAGGGTGCAGCCTCACCACCAAAGTCTCTGTCCCGGGTGCAGGATCTCCCTTCTCCATTCAGCCAGTGGTCTGTGCTCCCCACTGCCATGGTGAAGACTCCACAGTTTAATTTATCAACAAATAGAATTTGCAGAATTTTAAAATATTTTGTGCAGAATTTATTTTTTTGGTGCAGAATTCCCTTACGAGTAAAGAATAGAATCCATGAAAAGAATGTTTTCAATGTGATTTGAGAAAATAGTGTTGATAGTAAACTAATGAAAGATTTTTCCAGTGAAACTAACACTAAAGTCTATAGAAATTCTATAACTCTCATGGAGTAATGTAAGCCCAGGTCTTCCAATGAAGAGTCAAATCCTCTTTAGTACTCCCCAACCAGATTCTACTGACAAAATGGCAGCCTGAGGAACCCTTTCTTCGCATTCGTCCCTGTACCTTGGCCCAAAATTCCTCTCCAAGGCACGCAACAGGAACCAACAGAGTCAACATTGGTTCTGTAGTTATTTCCTCTCAGATTTACCAAGGGACGATGCTGCAAAGAATGGCTGTCACCAGCCATGCTCCTTGCATATATTAGCATTGGCACAGGTTTGGATTTTGAGCATTTTGGAAATCTCTTGTACTGAGGGATGGCATTGAACAATGCATGCAAAAGTCTATGAACCTTAACTTACCACATTACTAAATAAAAAAATTTAAAAAAACCCCACATTTGAAACAAGTGTTCTGTTTCAACGTGGTACATTTTAAAGTTAAGTAAAAATGATTATTTCTGACATTTCATACAATCAAACTGATTTTTTTTAAATTACTTGCCTTTTCATATAATATGGGAAAAACCTGTCTAGCGAGCTGGTTTTTTTACTCTCCCATTTACTAATTCACAGTGCAGAATATTGTTCTAATGCATAAAATATATAAATATCAAAAGCTGAAGAAATCAAATCTGTGCCTTGAGAAAGGAATTAGCCTTAAAAGGATGGAAAAATGAAAGCTGTTTTAGGAAACTGCTGAAGAATTTTGCAACTGGAGAGCATTATTAAGAGTTTGGCAAGAAATTTTGTTTAAAAGCATGGCTTACTGCCTTAAGCATCCTTTTGTTTAAATGAACAATCTAAGTATAGGAAATGAATTCATAGATACATGTTTTCCAGTACATTGTTCAGAGACTTGAACCAGTATGGTACGTACAGTTCAAAACTACGTTCTTCTTCAGTGTTTACCTGGTGTAACAAACTAACATAACTATAAGAGATGTTTCTGACAAGGAATAGGAAAATTATTGTTTGCATGTATATTTATTTTGCTATACCAGCCAGATATACCATAGTCCAGCCAGTACAGCAACCTGTTTCTGACAGTGGCCAATGCCAGGGGCACCTCTCTCTGAAGCCTCTGGTACTAGCCAGTCTCAGAAACAAGATGCTCCAGGAGGTGGGGAAGTAATAGATTATCACCATTTTACAGTCAGCTCTTCTGAGCCCCAGTCCTGTGCCTTAACTACAAGACCATCCTTCTTTCTTTATGCTCTGAGCTTACATCAAGATCTACCAGCATAAACTCAAACTCAAAGAACTTTACGCAGGTTCAGGTCAGTGCTAGTGGACCTCAATGTAGGGTCAGGGCCTTAGCTCACAATGAATTCTAGTACTAACATTTCAAAAACGAATAGACCATACAATCAGTCAGTAATCATATCTAAGTCGTATTTCACCTCTTTTTCAAACACACACACACACACACACACACTTTCCCTACAGATAAAAATAGATCTGTGTCAGGAAATATACTTTCAGTCTCGGTGCAGGCTGATAAGATGAAAAGGAAAAATTGAAATGGTCAAAGTGTCAGGGTTACAAACCATACCTTCCATGACATACACCAGTGAACCCACATCTCCTTCTTTGATGATGCAACTGTCTTTGCCATATTCCACTGGATACATACAATCCACAATCTCCTGGATCTGAGATAGTTCTAGATTCTTCATGAAGTCATTGTCAAGGATTGCCTCCTTTATTAGATCCTTGGACCTATGGCAAGAAAGGCAAGATTTATCCACTTGTCTGACAATTTAGTTAATTAACAGTATGTGAAGTTTAGCACATTCACACAGTGTCCTGGTGCGCTGATGGATGTATTTGCTTGTAAAGATTCCAATACTTTCCCAAAAAATCTGAAAGCAAAGTCCATCTGTGAAGAAATGAAAAATACAAAGGGGTATGTGTGCACGTGTTTGTTAACTTGTGAATGCTTATCATAAATAATACATTAGACATATCAAGTTTTGAAGAGAAGTAGAGTTCGATACTTATAATTTTGTCATCTCTTTTACCTACAGGTTTCATGTTTATACTGATGTCATGAGAATAACGTAACTACTCCAGTATTTATTCTCAATGTACACAAAACAAAAGAGAAATTTAAGATTTTGTGACTTGTAGTTTATTTATATTTGTATAATAATGACAAAAAATAGAGAATACAAAAAGTTGCAATAATGTACATGTTGGGCATTCCTTCTGTAGTATTAAGGATATTCCAAAAGTTCATTAAATACAACATAGAAAACATTATTACAGAAATAAGAATTAATTTATTTGATTATACATTAGTGGTGTCTTTAAGGAATTATTTTATTAGCATGTGCAAAAAATATACAACCGTTCGGGTTTTTTGCACGCAATTGCTTTAGAAGTAGAAGTCAGAGGTTCCCAGCTTAAGTAGCAACTTTTGATAGTGTTAGCAGGAAAGCAGTTTATTGTCAACATAGAGAATATAAAAAGGTATAAATTGTTAACCAGTTATTTTAACATCCTTATTCTTAGAATATTCTGGAATGTATAGCTGAATGTACAGTTTAACCTGTTTTTTCAGAAGTACTTCAGTATCTCTGCCACCACAGAATATATATTTTCTATGACCAACAGAATCATTTCTAAATATTTTATAAAGTTTTTACTGAGGTATCATCAACTCCTACTATGTGAAAGATCGTCTTCTATATTGAGTCCTCAGGTGTAACTGTCAAATAGTGTACTATTATTCATGCTCAACATATTTCCCTCAGATTGTCTATCATGTCCATCTTAAGCCATCTGTTAGTACAGAGTAATAAGATCACTACACAATTTAAAAAAAAGCTTCTTAAAGGATTTTGTACAAATGAATACCTGAGGATGGTATGTGTACAAACTAGGGATTAACAAAGATAATTTAAATAAGGATCATTTGGAAGCAATATCTTTGTCATTAATCCATCTCTGTTTGATACCTTTGTCTTTAGCATTTGTGGGATCACACACATATACACTTTTACTCTACATGTTGGCTTTATATAAACATTTGATTAGAGTGCAAATGATTTTTACTTTTTAGAGAGTAGACACTAACAAAAACAAAACGGCTACTACATTTACAACAAGCTGGGATTTTAAAAGAGGGAGTATTAATGTTCAGTAAGTCAATCATCACCTGGTGTTAGGAAGAGTTATTTTCCCCAAAACCCGCTCCTTATACTAGATTACAAAATATGCCAGGTCTGTGGGGTGAGGAGCGTCCTTTTGTGGACTCAAAATAGTGGACCAAATGATCTATTGGCCTGTTCCAGGATAACAAAGCTCGTAAGAATTTGAATTTTAAAAATTCACTTCAAAGTCTATCTATCTATAATAAAGAAGATGTAAAAGGTATCTGATTGTATTGAAGCACTTTGACTTGATTAATGACTCCTTGGGTCTACTTCTGATTTCATTTACACCAGATGATTACTTGATTTAAATGACAGATTTCAGAGTAGCAGCTGTGTTAGTCTGTATTCACAAAAAGAAAAGGAGTACTTGTGGCACCTTAGAGACAAACCAATTTATTTGAGCATAAGCTTTCGTGAGCTACACCTCACTTTTATGCATCCGCTGAAGTGAGCTGTAGCTCACGAAAGCTTACGCTCAGATAAATTGGTTAGTCTCTAAGGTGCCACAAGTACTCCTTTTGATTTAAATGAAGTCTCATGATTTCCCCCAGTGAAACTGACATCAAAATCAGGCCCCACATCTAAAAGGCTTAGATGGTTCATGTCCTGGGTAGTCAGTTTACTTATACAGTACATTACCAGATAGTCTGTCACTACTATATTCGACGTTCAGACAGAAGAGCATATTTTCTGTCAGTGTAAATTGTTATCGTTATACTGAAGTCAATATACTTCAATGGAGCAATGACAATTGAAACCTGCCAAATGATCTGCCGTTCTCAGTTAAATTCATTCTAGTGCTGCAGACCCTCACAAAACTGTATGCAACACTTAAGCTCCACATAAAGTGGAAGCAAGATATGCGGGGAACATGCAGGAATCACACACCCTTGGCATGATGTTAATTTTAACTTCTCAGCAGCTGTTTGCACACCAACATGCTGGTGGTAGCTACAAGAGGATGCTTCGCTGCCACCCAGCTCCTCCCATCCTCCCCGTTCATGAGGTGGCTGCTTGGTCCTAACAGAGCAGTGTTGTTTCCACCTTTTCCTCCTGCACATTTCCTCAGTGCCTAGTCCGACTATTAAGAGTAGATGTTGTGCGTTTGATCTGGGGAAAGGAGTTTAAGTGGTAGGTAGGACCATGTGTAGAGTCTAAGCACTGGGATGAAGTTTACTATATGAAAGTATAATCTAGCAATATAAAACAAGTTTATTTCAAGACACAACCACATTTTCTTGAACAGGAGCCCAGGTTGTGGCTCTAGAAGCTTAAAACAAAAATGAAATCTAGAAAATACGTACTTAAAAATACACTTGTTTTTCTTGCATTATAGAAATTGTCTTTCAAAATAAGTCTTGTGGATATTACTGCATATAGCATGTGTGTTTCAAGTGTATTGGGAAAACACAGATCAACCTTATGTTAGGCATAGAATTTATTCTTTAATGTCAAATATGGCTTTCAATCTTCTATTTCATTGAAATATTCTAAACAAAATGCTTTACATCAAACACAAACAGCACTGACCTAATTGATGTGTCTAGAGCACAGAAGCCTTTTCAGTAGGACTTAGAAAAACTGCTAGACTAGCTTTGTGGAAAACTTTTTACTTTCATGATATCTAATTAAAGTTAAAATGTCATCATTATGATTACTAGGGCAAGCAAATAAAAACAACCCAAACCACACCTATTCTTTTATTGCTTTTGTTCTTGGTAATGAAAGACTATGGAAATTTATAAGGATGAAGAAATGGATATTCAGCTTCCTTCCTCATTGGCTTCTCTGTGCTACTACAAGACTGAGCCTTTGTCATGCTCTCAGAAGTACTGTTTTAATACTGTGATTTGCCTAAGTGCTTTCTTGGTGCTTCCTACCCTTCAAAAAAAAAAAAAAACAGATGATGCTCACCACACCAAAGAGTGTTCATTATTTACATTCACAGAGTGCCAACAAGTATAACAGAAACCTCCACGTTAATCGTATCAACTAACATTACATTTACAGACATTTATTTCAGTTTTAATTGTCAAAACAAGACTCTTCTTGATAAAATAAGGTCCAATTCTTTCAAATAGAGAGTGTTCATAATAAATAAGAATAAGAATATCCATCAAGTGATTGTAGGGAATTCAGACACAGAGTGAAAGCCAAATCTGATCAGTTAGGGAGGCAACAGAAAATTATATAAATTATTGCAGACTATGAAAAGTAAAAGGTAGGGGGAACACAACTCAGGGGCTCCAGAAGGGGCCTCAGAAAGTCTGAATGATAAAGCAGGCAAAAGGAGCAGAAAAACCATTAGGAATTCTCTTACGGGGAACAGAAGCCACAGAGCAAGTATGATACAAGTAAACTACAGGAATTGGTAACATTTTCACACAGACTTCCTATCGCCATGTAAGGAAAGCTCAGACATAGTAGGTTTACAGCGTATGAAGGTCCTACAAAGAAGCACATGAAGAAGGATTGCAGAAATTAAGGCTACGACCCACTAAATCACTGAGACCGTTTCCCTACCAGTACAGGACACTCTGACAAGACAAAAGATATGCCAAATATTATATTGATAATACTTCATCTTAGCCAAAAGTGAAAAATCATACAAATAAATGTCTCCACAGACTATTGTGGATAATCTTGATTTCAATCACATTTACCCATCAACATATCATTAAAAATGGTCATTTTTAGAAGTAGTCAGCCTTAGACAGACATTTTTAGTAGAAGACAACAACCACAGTGATGAGCACTATTTCAATGTCTGTAAGCACTCTTCCTCTTCATACAGAGAAACCACATATGAATGAATGAATGAATCCCCCAGTGTTTACACAGGTAAGCTTATGCCAGTGTTCACATCCTATCACCACCTTCAAAAAAAATTGCTTGAGCAACGTGAATTCCTTTAATCAATGATTTTTTGCATCCATTTTATAAAATAATGCTCAACTTGAACTAATCCAAAATTAAGTGCAAATATATGGTCATGATTACAGTAAGACTTATTCTGTTGTGCCAAGGGGTGGATATTTGTCAGCCAGGTAATATACAGAATTACTTGTGTAAGTCCAGTACCATTCCTAGATACTTAACTTTCTCTAGCTTGTCTAATAAACACAGTTTTCATACAATAAAATTAATTTTGGAAGTATTTCAGATTTAAAAAAATGTATTTTATATAGGATATTTATCCAAGCATGTGAAATTAATTCATACACAGCATAATGAAACTTATATTTTATCACCCATTATTCCTTAATTTTTAGTTTTATAAAATTGCATCAATCCCTGAACTAAGAAAAGTATGCATCTAAACTTTTTGACAGAGAAGGATAAACAGCCCCAAAGTATGTTCTTTTCAATCAAGAGTAAGTGGTTTAATAATGGACAGTTACTGCATTCTCTTTTTATGTTTGAAGGAGACTCACTATTTCATTTGTATTTTCTGATTTGCTATCCCAATGGAGGCCATCTGTAAGTAAAATAAACCTACAATATTTTTAATGGAGCAGGCTATCTCCAGATGACCCCATTTGAAGAAGAGTTCCTTTCATG